GGCCCAAAAATGACGAAGAAGTTTTTGGTGCTGAGATGCATATGGTGCACACACGTGCTATCACCGAAAGCAAGGCAAAAGGTAAAACTAATGCAGTAGTCCACTCGACAAGTATCAATCGAACAAAGACAATATAGCCTGTGCACTCCAATTATATGAAGCACCGCCATGAACTCATGCATGATGAGTCCTATGTATGGTAGAGTACTAGTTTTTTTTTTTTTTTGCATGGGGAAGGGGTTTGATCCCGAGCTCATGTTCACCCGGATGGACAATGAATTGTTTTTTGACAACAAACATGTTTTTTTATGAGCGTAAAAGTGTTTTATTCCAGAATTATAGTTACAGTCTAGAACTAGAAGTAAGAATTCCTCAGTACATGGGGGTCGTCTGTGTAGCCACCCAGTAGTGCTACACTCGGTACGGCTGTATCTCGCCAAACAATCTACTACTCTATTCTGACCATGATGGAGCTTTTTTTTACATAAAACATGTTAGTGTGTTTTAATTGTGTGCAATGACTTCTTCTCTGGTTGCACAGGTATCATGTGCAGCTCTAGCTAATGATCATGCAACATGAATGATCACTAGTACTTGAGTTGCTCTCAGTTCCTTATTGAGGTTTTGTCTGAAAGGTTTGGGATGTTAGTCGCTCTAGCTATACCATTTCCAAACCGGACCGAAAATCAAACCGGTGAGGCTATCAGTTTAGGTTTTTACTGGCCAGGCTACCGGTTCAGCCGATTCCATATATAGTGAAGAAAATAGGACTATTAAACCTTTTTTCTATAAAAACAACCTATGATCAAATGAATACGCTTAATACCAGATGTAGTCCATCAATATATCACAACTCGGGGCTTGCCCAGTTCGTGAAGTGCTTTTGGGCATGATTTGGCTCAAGGTTGAAGGTTTTAATCCCAGTTGACACACCGGTTTCCGGATGTGTCACCATTTTTTTTCTAGAAGACCAACACACCTTAATAACCGAACGAGGCCTCGACTCCGGTATTATTTGGTCGGAGTTTCGGTCTGGCTTGGTTTCTAAAACTACGATCCGTTCTAAGACATGTATCTCTTGAACCGGTTGGTTGTAAGGGATCTCAGGGGATTCGTGCCTTTTCCCCGGGTGAGTAAACCACATGTTGAGTTGGCCCTAGGCAAGTAAACATCCCTATTTGGTTGCACGCGAGGGAGGAAGATCCCTGACCTTTCCACAGCCCACCTCCGGTTAGATCTCCCTATATATGTCGATAAGTCAGGGAGAAAACCC